GTTTTAACTTTACTTAAACATGGATTGAATATGAAAACAGTTCAGCAACAAAAGTAGAAAGTTAAAAAGCAACAGTCCTCTTATGAAAACAACATATTTATATCACATTAAACACATTCATAGTTATTAGTCTCCTGAATACGCCAGATTTCTTTCATCAAGACTGTGATGAGGTCCATTAAACCGTATTGTGTTGTTTACCTGTGGCATGTACCCGACTTTCTTCCCCGGCACGTTGTGACCAGGGAACGCAGGCGGTCGCCCCAACACGGTGATGTGTCCCCGCGAGATTTTCAGCGTCCCCACAATGCATTTCAGCAGCGTGGTCTTCCCGCAGCCGCTGGGGCCCAACAGACCATAACTGCAACGGACAAGAGCGTTTCAGTTAAAACACAAATGATTTGCGGACTTGAGGTCGTAGCACTTTCCCACAAACGCAGCGATTGTTCAGTCATGAAGAAAGTGAACTGAAATACAGGAAGTGGAGCAGGTGTGGAAAGATCTCAGATGTATGGTCATGGTGGCTTTCAACAGATAATGTCTATGTAAGCAGCTGAAGATAACCAGGCGAGTTTATTTATGGAGTCAAACAATGCTCGCGGGGAGTGACGCAGATTTTCAATAGATATGAGTGTTTTAAAGATAACCTGTCCAAAGTATAAACACCTGACCAGCACTCATTCACAGGAATAACATGACACAAACCGAGATTTAAAAACTACATGTTTTAAAGACTGAGAGACGCCTTTTGCTGACACCCAGCAATCGTCATGGTTCCCTGTCCTGCATGCACTTCCTGCGGAGAATCTCTGAAGTTCAGAAAGCAGCTTCACTCTCTTTGAGCTGGACCACATGTCACTGAACCTCCTGCTTCATCTTCACGGAGCTGAACACAGCAGATGTACTGGACGTAAACCTGACTTGTTCTGCAGGAAATTTAGATTTTGGTCCTTTCAGCGGAGACATGACAAAAGAGAAGGACGAGTCGACTGGCTCCTGGACTCTTCGCCCAACAATGCTTGTCGCATTTGCATGTGGAGAACACGTCTCACAGTTTCTCTCAGTAAAGATTAAATCTGTGAATTCCAACATCACGAAAAACAAAGCACAGGAACAGATTCAGCTTTTACAGATTCACTCAAGCCTGAATTCACAGCCACTCACATGTGTCCTTGTGGCACAGTCAGGTTGAGGTTGCTGAGGACCTTCAGTTTGCCGTACGACCGGCCCACGTCTCGGCACTGGATCGCGGAATCCTCCTGTCCAGCAGACGGAGGAGCCTCCAGATCAGCCTTCATGTTCTCCTCCTTCTGCCGGAGGAGAGAAAACACGGTGTTCAAGTTCAACAACAGTTCACTTCCACTGTTCTTTCAGATCTTACCATGTGAACTGAGCAACCGTGTGGTGGGTCGCTTGTGAGACAAAACATTTAGGGATGTGTGAAAGAATAGGTTTCATGGAACTGAAAAACATTCTGCATACATATTACTGCAATAAACATATTATAAGAAAATACAGCCCAAAATGTGCATGTCACATGATTTATCTCCATTGTGGCAGGAAGGAAATGATACTTCTGATAAAAACTACCTCCAAAACTAATAAACCAGAAAGATATCAAAAAGTCGACGTATCCAACCAAATCTTCATAATATAAAATATTACCTTCACTCCTGTAATCTATGAAATATAAAAAAATGTAAAACAAAGTGAACTTAGATTGAATTTTAGTCAGATAACTCTGTTTCTGCATTTTCTCATCTTCTGCTTTATGATGTCGTTTCATCGCACTGAACAAAACGACGTTACACATACAAGGAAATTGAGAGGAGGAAATTTCTATTGCTTCTCTATTTCATGGATATTAAATTAAATGTGAAACTTTCGTCTCTGATCTCTGAACTTTTGATCCTGCTGAAAATGTGATGCAACGTAACAGATGAAACACGAAACTTCGCAGCACAAACAGAAATAAACTTTTCACATGACTCAATATGAATTAAATGTAGAGTTACTGTGAGGAAGTTATTTAGAATTTAAAAAAAATCACCCCAGAGTGAGTTTTATTCCTGAGCAGACGTTTGCAGCTCCATCAGTTTAAAAAAGCAGCTGAAAGAAATTTCTTCTGACTAGGATTCGTTTTTTCGAGGGTTCGAGTGGTCAGAGAAGCAAGTTTACGCTTTAACCCATAAATCCAGGATGAAGCTCACTTGTGGCTGAAACAACTCTCTCTACTCCACTGTGGTTTCTTTGCATCACTTCAAGATCCAGTATTTGGGTCATGGCTACAACAATCCTTCGCTATAATCTCAAATAACTGCTTCTTTCATGGGTTTCCCGGTCTCTAACTAACTCCCTCCTTTAATCCAGCGTCTCTCGTCTTCTAGGGAGGAGATTAGGGAGATTGCATTGCATAATCTGATGCAGTTGGTCGGCCTCACCTTTGGCACTATAGCCTCCATCTGTCAAACAAATACATCACCTCCATTCCACATGAATTAGCCTGTGGTTGCTAAAGAGGTTGTGTTAGAAGACGAGCTGATTCAGATCCAACATCTGACATAACAGTTAACAAAGATAAAGGCGCCTTATCAGCAAATGTCAACTTGACCGAGTGTGAAACAGCAGCTGAAGCGAACACTCACCCTGAGAGGAGCAGAGGACAAAACAAAAAGAAGGGGAGAAGTGAGAGAGGACGAGGGGAACTGGCTGATGAGCGTCTCCACACAGAGAAGAGTTGAAGAGCATATAAACACGACCTGACACAAACTTTCTCAGTTAATGCAAAGTGGAAAAACAGGTTTGTTTCACCGCAGGTGGAGACGCATGGCCTTACCTAGGACGACTCCACATCACGGGACAAAATAATGAGGTTTTTCTTCAATGAATTATATTTTTACAAACAAAGAAAATAAATATTTCACGGCTGCAGCTTCACGCTTTGTGAGAATAACTTGATTTTCAATGTAAAGTTGACATTCCTGGATAAATTGACAAATTGACCAGAGCCCTAAATCTGGGCTCTTGAAACTTTTGGTTTTGATTTATAACATTGTAAGAGTTTGATTTTTAACCCAAATGCAGAAATGTCAGAAAATCCACAACATAACAGTCTGTTAGTTGCAGTCTCTGACTTGGAACTTTGATTTTCATTATGAATTTAATCCAAGTTAAGTCCTAAATCTGGGCTCTTGAAACTTTTGGCTTTGACTTTTAACACTGCAAGAGGTTGAAACTGAACCCAAATGCAGAAATGTTAGAAAACCCATGTAACAGTTGCAGCCTCACTCTGCCTTAGAGAGAAAAAGCCTTGGAGAAACACCACATAGTAATGTCCCGCAACAGCTCAACAAAGCCTCTGTCTTCATTCATACTCTGCTCTGCTGATCCAGAGGAATTCCTACCTCGCCTGCCAACTCGTTGCCAATTTGCGTCAGCGCCAAAGTGGAAGAACGGCGCACAAATCCGTCCGGATTCAGCTGCACACTGGGAGGCGAGCGCACACTGTCACACGGCGGCCCAGCCTCGGCCTATTTATAAGCCTCGGTAGCCGAAGTGCACCGACCCACCGGCTGCTGCACGTTTCACTTCTGCCTCCTCACCCCTGCGCGTCACTGGACGAGCGCTCTGCAGATGCGCTCCCCTCTGTGCGTCTCCTCCTCCCTCTCTCTCTCTCTCTCTCTCTTTCTCTCTCTCTCTATCCCCACCGTTACCTGTGTCGCCAAAAACTCCAAACGTCAAACTGAACCCTCGTGAAACGACTGATCGTGGAATCGTTCGCAGCAGCAGCAGCAGCAGCAGCAGTGTGCATCCTGCAGGTTTCTCCATCTTGCTGCAGCAGGGACCAGGGGGGGAGCCACGCTGCTGCCGCTGCAGGGACCGACTCAAGCCCTGCACGGTTTCATGTTTCCTGAAATACCAACCCCCCCCCCCCCAAAAAAATAAAGCATCTCACCCGCTCCTCCATCTCGGTGCTGTCTGCGAGAGCGGCCGTCGCATCATCATCCAGACCGGCAGCCTCCGCGGCCATGGCAGCAGAGAGGAGGGCGGGTAGAGAGACACTGACAGTGATGGGAGGAGAGAGAGAGAGGGAGAGAGAGAGAGAGGGGGGGGGAGAGAGAAGGGGGGAGGGGGGGCTGGATGCTGCTGCTAAAATATTAAATATCTTCTTATAAATAAGATGCAGCATTAAGTGGATTTTCATATTTCTCCACCCGAAGCTATAAATGATTCATTATGTTCATGGAGCTCTTAGAAATAAAAGAGTTGTTCCAATGAAAGTGGCTGTTAATGAAACCGTCAGCTGAATCTTTTTATAAAAACAAGTGTTAGGACATTTAAATATGTCCATTCAAAATGACTCATGAATCATAAAAGCCAAAAACTACTGCTGTAAAACTTTTAACAATCCAAATAAAGAGGGAGGTGATGGAGATTTATGATTCCTGTTTTATTCCACAAAAAGAGAATGTTTCATAATTAATTCCAGTTTTCTCTTTAAACTGTCTTTTCTGTTGATATTGATGATGATGAATCATTAAATGTAGTTTTACACACGTTTCATGTTTCCAGCGTCTACACACACATACACAAAACAACTCACAACAAATAAAGACGATGAATAACTGACAGTAACGTAAGTATTGTGTCTACTCCTTCAAGTTACATTTAACTTTTTTTAAATTCATTATGAGCCAATAACAACAAGCTCCACCTCCACCCCGCACATCACGAGTAACTCCTGAACTTTATGGACCGAGTTTTTCAGTTTTGACACCAAGAATGTTGTTTTGAAAATGAATCCTGATGATCCCATGAGACCTTTGACCTTTATTGAACAAAACTGACGTCACATTTTTGTCACATTCATCTTTCAACAACACGATGTATTCAGTGCATGGAAATAACTGTCAAAGAAAAACATTTAATTATCAATTCTTTTAATTATTTAAACAAAACGTCCTAACATATTGAAATAATATAGAATAAAAGTTGTTCTTCTGACTATATGCACATATAATATATAATAAGTTCTGGTTATGCAGTCATGAAAATATCAGCAGGAAAATTTACACAGTTTAAAAGTTGGTTTTCAAATGAGACGTATTTACACTGTGGGCAGTGAAGGTGCAGAGTTGAACTGCACTATCTAGTGGTCAAGATTGTAATAACATATTCAAATGAATTTAAAACAAATGTAATCCACAGTGTCAAATAGTTTCTCTGCAGTGTGACTGAATGTTTTTAAATAAAAATCAGACTTATACTTTTTGTCTAGAGGAAATATTGCTCAGCTAAATATTTTATACCTGTACATTTATACAGCAGCTGTGACTGTGACCTCTGTATCCTGAAGCATTCATGCATCCCACAGAGTTCCTGTGTGTGGTAGAGGTGACGTTCATACAGCTGTGCCACGGTTTATCTCCAGATGTACCAGTTTGGAATTTTTCCCGGACGTCTCGTGGTCACCGGCGTTTTGGTTTTCTGGGGTTTTCTCACCACCCTTGTCTTTCTTCTCATCGCTGCTCCTGTTGGAAAGAAAGACAAAAGGGTTAATCCGACTCCTCTGCGTCAACGAGGCAGAACTCTTCCTCCAAGAAACTCTGGAGGATTCACTAACAGTAATTTGTAACAGTAAGTCTCACTTCTTCTTGAAGAGTTTCTTGAACGAGCTCCTGAAGCCTCCTTTTTCCTGCTTCCGACTCCTCTCACTGAAGTGTGAGTGGTTGTTCTCCTCCGTCCTCCACTTTGACTCGTCGCCCCACGATTGGATCCCGGAGTCCTGATGGGATCAAACACAATATTACATTTACCTCAATGAGGGTCTGATTACAGAGTGGTTACGTCTCTTCAAGATCTAGGACGCTGATTTAAAATGTTACTGTTGAGTTTCACATCTGAGCTGATACCCACAATGCTGAGCAGCCCATGAAGATCTTCGCTCTGTTTGTCTGCATCTCTGTTTCCCATGGGGCTGTGGACCTTACGGGATGGAGTCGCACACCCTTTGCTGCCTTTGCTGCCCTGGCGCTCCAGCTTTGCGTGGCTGCCCAGCCCAACTCTTTGGAGGTGGTCTGACAGAGGTGCGCTGTCCAGACCGCTCACTGTGGTGTCCATCTGCAGGCCGTTCAGGGACTAGACGGTAGAGAAGATGTATTTTTACACATGTAGACGTTATGCACGCATCATTTTCTCCAAAAATAGTTAACCACAAAGAAAGCTCACCTTGCTCTGACGCTGGCTGGCCTGAAGGGGGCGATGCTGAAGGCGGCGCATCATCACAGCCTCATCTGGAGACACGCACCCTCGGTTGGGCAGTTTGCCAAACCCGTTGCCATGGCTTCCGCCGTTGCCAAAGACATCTCGGGACGTCGACACGTTCGCTGCCATGGCGTGATGTGATGCTGCGGGGGCTTTGGGGCACTTCACAAAGGCGATGTCAATGGAGGAATCTGAGGAGGCCGACGAGCATTGGTCGAACATAGACACATCGTGGAGAGACCTTCCGTCCTCTTCGTAGAGGCTCTCCATCCCTGGGGGGTCCGGAGGGAGGAGGAACTCTCCGAGAGCATCGGCCAGAGCAGAGCCGGGCTGAACCTGACGGAAGTCTGCGGGTCTGGAGGGAAGATGATGCTGGCACGACATGGACCTCTCAGTTGACTCGCTCTCTGGGATACTGCCAAGACCTGAGAGGAGAGATTATTAAACGGATTTCTGAAAAGCATTCACAAATTTTAAAGCATACCTACGTTTCCCAAGATTGGCTAAACCTAACTCAAAGCTTTCCTGCTGCAGAAAGTATCATTTGAATCCATTAGAAACCACAAAAGGAGAATCTGTTATAATAGTGACCACAGACCTGTCGGCTTGTGGTTCCGTGAGTCCAGGACGGGGTTGAAGAACGGGAGCTGGGACGGCCACTCTGAGTCGTAACAGTGAGATTCGGGGTCCCGATCCCAATCCTGGAAACGGTGAGACTGCATCTGCTCCAGGAGGCGCTGTTTGCTGCGCTTCACCTGGTTTGCATGTTCTCTGTTCCGATGAAGAGATTCATAATCAAGCTTGTTTCCAGCAGCAGAAACTTACTCTGTGTTGCAAACCAAACATTCAGCAAGAAGTCAGAAGTTAGTAATCTATTAGAGGTCTGGGTCTGTCAGGTTGTGACCACGTTGGAAAGTTTCAAAGAACAGATTGAGTCCTGCAGGATAGATACTTACAGCATGGCACTGCTGCAAGGGTACGGCGAGCCAATGTTGTTGGCTTTAATTCCACTCTCTACTGTCATTAACAGCTGTTTCATAGTCGACCTGCAGGGGGCACAAAGTTTCAAACGCTCAGGAAAATGTGTTGCGCTGCCTCTGAAGCAGGCGTGTGATGATGCTACTTTAATTCTGACCTCTTCACCTCCTTGCGGTTGTGCAGCAGAAGCTCCTGGTTGTGCTGGAGCAGGTGGTGGTACTGAGCCGTGAAGGTCCGGAACTGCTGGATGCACACCAGCAGCAGGTAGTAGTCTGGGTGCTCAGCATCAGTCTGCCTCAGCAGGCCCTGAACACACACACACACACACACACACACACACAGAGAGACACACACACACACATTACTTCAAACACAATTCAAACTTCATACAGCACGTCATACATTTAATAACTAGAACAGCGTGTCCCACCTGTAGCAGCAGCAGGTACTCTGGGATCCTCTGAACCGGCTGAAGGAGCAGAGTGTGGAGGGAGGGTTTGGATTCATCACCCAATATGTCGCTCTAAAATGAGCAGAGACGATAAAGTTAAGATAATGCAATACAATTATCCTGCGCTGTCCCATCACGCTCTGTCCTGACTTGTCTCTTTCTGTCCTGCTTTGCTTTACCTCCAGGAGGGCAGAAGATTTCATGGAGCTGGACGCGAGCATGGTGACGACTGACAAACAGTCCGGAAGCTCCTTCAGGTACG